GCCGATGCTATATCCTGAGTTTTCTTCCTTTTTGTTCAAAATAAAAGCACCTTACGTGAAAGCGGTGAAGTTGACGATGTTGAGGGAATAGGATCATGAATGAGTGCGTCAAAACTCATGGTTACTGCTTGGAGTCATGGGAAAGAAGGCTGGCGTGAGGGCCAGTGATGTAACATACACAATAGGTCACGTTTTGTTTCAAGGCCAAAATGCTTTAGAGCAAAACATGGTCAATGGGACTACATGTTTTCATAAATGCTTAAAATCATTAATTTGGCCCTATGCACTATTCTACATAAATTGTACTTATGAGGTGGCAACCCATTTGAAAAATACTTTTTAATTACAGAAGGACTTTATGAACATATTGATCATAGATCCAAGCTAAAATTCTACTTGGCCATCGTCTCAAAACAATTCCCCAGATATGACCATTGTCAGGTTTGGGTTGTGAATTATTCCGGATTGTAAAAACTCTTGCACGTCTGTGGCATCTGTATAAGATGTATCCTGTGGTTTGGCCACTTCTTATGGACAAAGACTCATTCGCTGGCCACGCGCAAAGGCGTGGATGTCTACCCCGTGCCCGCTCCTTCACCGTGTGGCAGGGACGCGGGGGCAGACTCAGCACACGCGCATCCCTTCTGATGGAGACGCAGTCAGCAACCCCATAGAAGGTGTGCGGCCTGAGGGGCAAGAGGAAAGCAGAGAAGAGAAAGCAAGTGTCACGGAGAGGTGCAGAACGCTGGGAAGTTAGAATACGGCCCAGCCAACTGCAAACTGGGTAGATTTACCAAAATGGCTTTTTATGACCGTTCCCAGACTGCCTTTGCTCAGCTCCAGTCGTGAACTAGAAACCAGTGTTACCCTGATGCCCAATTTCAGGACCATCACCCACAAGCATCTGCCCCCCGGGACCGCCCAGGGAATGGCCAGCGCAGCAGCCGGGTCTCAGCTCAGAGCCAGGACTGGTTAGAGTCACACCCTTCCTGAGAGCTCTCTCTTGATTCCAGTCCTTCTCCATCTTCCACTTCTTTTCTTTCTCTCCCCTTTCTTCTTCTTCTCCTTTTCTGTCCAAGATGCAGTTAGGAACGAGAGTCCAAAAGCACCGGGTCTTGAGGGGCACTGGCTGATGGTTTGCGTAAGAAAGATTGGGATCAGAATCAGCCCGCGACGGGACGCACTCTGTGTGGTTCTCCTTCATCTACCAGGTGAATGATCAACATAAAAAAGACAGGAACCGCAAGAAGCAATCTGCTCAGACTAATAAAGGAATCTGTAAGTGCCTTTGATCAAAGCTCACACTACGGTGCATAATCTATGCCTTTCAAGTTCTCTAATCTGAATAAAAGGGCTTCAGATGGTTACATTGAAAGATATAGATCGAGTTCAATGCAGTGGAAAGAACACAGCATAGCAAGACTTAGATGCTGGGCTCGGCAAAGCAGCCTTGCCACTGAAACTAAGCACGAACCGCACCGAATGCCTTGATGAGTATGTTGACCCTCAAGACTCTATTTCCTCGTGTCCCACACGAGGCCATTACCGTTCGCCCTGCTGACTTTCCTTTTTTGCGTACAGTTGTTCTTCGGAGTTGTTATTAGGTTTAGATCAAATGGAGTCAAAGCTCTGAATAGTTGTAGCACATTCTGCGGATGGGAGGAATCATTGTGTGTGAAACATTAAAAATTCCCATGCCTCATGCACTGACCCCAGACCCCCAACTACATAGGGAATAAACATGCGTGGATCGGTGAACAAACCCAGTGGCTCCGAAAGGAAGATGTGTCCACCACACCAGAAACAGAAGGAGGTGCTGGGGTCCACCACCGCCACGGAGGCGGTTCCGGGGGTGGGAGCCAATGTTCAATGGGAGAAAATGGAGCTAGAAGCCCCCTACTGATGACTCTGAGACTTTCCTGCACAGAGTCTGGTTAATGTAAAGGACTGAAGCAATCTCACAATGTCTCCAAGACAAATCAGAGCGACAATAAGGGGATCATCGTATTTTTAGTTAAGAGAATTGAATTTCTGGCGAATATTCTATGCAGTTTCACGCAGCAAAAGATGGCTCTGATCTCTGTTGTCTGCTAGCGTTGCTTTTAAAACTATGGAAAAGAACGGCGATTAATTCCTGGTAACCGTTCACAGCCAAACGATGAACACTGACTTCTTAATAGAAACATACGCTGTGACTCTTAGCGATTTGGGAACCATGCCACGGAAACAACAGCCATCCATTAGGAACTTACTGTTGTTTCAACAGCTCCTCATTCGATTTGTCCTGATTAACCACCCGAAAGAGAGACAGGCCAACCCTTCCTGCAACTAGCAACACATTTCAAACCAATGCTTTGCTTCTGAAACTGAGGAGTCTGGCTTTCCAGGTCAGGAATAAACGATGGTTTAAAAACCCTTTTGCTCTCTGACTAGCATGAAAGGGAAGTATGAATGTGCTTTATTGCTAGGGAGTTAAAGATTGGTCTTCTGGTATAAAGTATATGAAAAGTTACATCTTGGAGAAGCTGAAGAAAGCGGTCTTTCCCGACGATTCAATATGGAACACACAAGCAAGCATGCAGCGAATAAATGAATTCATTTATTTTTTCGTCCTGTATTTTTAGCCTCCTTTGGGGAGTTAAAGAGTGAGGAAAATAGACCGGTGTGATGCGATGGGAACCCGTTCCCATTTTGTCTTCGGATGCGCTTCTTCCAAAGTCCCAACGCGTGGTCTGATTTAAGAGCCTCCCTGCTGCAATGTCAAGTGTCCCGGCACACGCACGAGTGCAGGAGGAACGGTGGCTGCAGGTGAGCCACCAGGTGAGCCACCTGCCTCCCGGGCACCGCCACGCATCACCCCAGGCTCTCCGCATGCGTATCAGAGGACCGGCGCTCGTCACCCGCCGTGGTTACCATCTGCTGGTAAAATAACTGTTTTGGATTCCCTCACCTGTTCTCTAAGACTCCCAGCTTCTTTTCACCACCAATAAAACACGTTATACTTATCTGCGAGTGTTTGTGAAGGGAAAAAAATACAGAAAATCTCAGTGACATATTCCTGAACTGCTACTACCCAAGTACTTAAGCTTAAAGATGCCGGCAATGATTCAGCGGAAATGACCTCCGTTACCCGTGAGTCTGTCGGACAATTCCGTATGGGCACCCACATCTCCTGTCGATGTGCCTGTGATCAGTGCCACAGTGGTGAGCAGACACCCCCTGTGTTAGTGATTCCTTCTTGCTCCCTTTCTAATCCGGTCTCCTGGCACGGATGTGTGTCCATGACTATACAGACTGTGTGTGCTGCCTCCTTCAGACTCTATTTAAGGTTCATCTCCATTATTAGTTTAAGACAAAGAAAAGGGAAAGAACGATGATAAAGGAAGAGACCAGGTGGTACAGTTAAGTCATCACTCACGAATGCTCAAATTCTAGGCTCCTTGTCCTTTGCCACGGGTGATGCGTGCGCCTCCGTCAGCCCAGCAGGGCTCCTCCTGTGTCCCGGAGAGTGGGCGCTTCCAGACACATCTAGCAATTCTGAACCATCTGAAGGAAGGTCCTCCTCTTTGGCCTGGTCCATGATCTGACGTTGCCTCTTGGAAATGCTCCACTACTTTTTTTTTTTTTTTTTTTAAGTTCATTTATTTACTTTGAGGAGAGAGAGAGTGAGCGTGAGCAGGGGAGGGACAGAGAGAGGGAGAAGAATCCCAAGCAGGCTCCACACACTCAGCGTACAGCCCTGTGCGGGGCTCGAATTCACGAACCATGAGATCATGTCCTGAGCTGAAACCAAGAGTTGGAATCTTAAGCAACTGAGCCCCCCAGACCCACTACTATTTAAAAATGAGATTTATGTCCGGGCGCCTGGGGGGCTCAGTTGGGTGACCGACTTTGGCTCAGGTCATGATCTCGCGGTTCGTGGGTTCGAGCCCCACGTCGGGCTCTGTGCTGAACACTTGCTTGGAGTCTGGAGCCTGTTTCAGATTCTGTGTCTCCTTCTCTCTCTGCCACCCCCCCCCCCGCTTGTACTCTATCTCGCTCTGTCTCTTAAAAATAAATAAATGTAAAAAAAAACCACATTTAAAAAAACGAGACTTGTGCCTCCTTTTTGGTAATTGTTGGGTTTTGCCAAAGCTGCTAGCTGCCATGATCTTTGCCGCCCATGCAAACCTTTGGTTGTTTTATAGCTAGAAACATCCAGGAACTCCTGGTGTCTTGGGCTCTATTCTGTTTCCTACTCCTGCATCACAACGACCTTCTCAATTCTTTGAAGTTTCAAACCTCCTGTTCTCAACACTCGTCACGGATCGCATTCTGATGTTTAATACCTTACAGCATGCCTCACTGCTTCTGGGGAGCCCCTCCCAGGCTATTCTGTCTCACTAATGTTCCCCCCTTCTGGAAGGAGGGGCTGGGTCCCCACCGTGCCCTGGGACTCCGCCAACTCAGAGGGTCACAGAAAAGAATTAAATGTTTCCAGTTATGTATGAAGCTTCTGCCAAGAAGCGAGGTTGAAGGGACAGTGACGTTGTCAGTGTGTGGCAGTTGAGAAGCAGCGAAGAGAAGCAGTAAACAGACACTGGACGACCCCAGAGGGGCCAGGAAGTGGGTCTCCAGAATGCGGATGACCTACCCACCAGAAGCCGAGAAATCAAGGTCCTCAAACTGCCTTCTCTGACTTCTGCTCTCTTTCTGATCCCTCAGGAAGCCTGAATGACAAGGCTGCACCCCGAGACATAGGCAAACAAGGAGGCTTCAGGAACCCCACACCATGCACCCCCCCCAAGAGGAGCCCGCTGGCTCCCCCCCGTTTGTTGCCATGCTGCTGACACCAGTAAATCAGAAAGAGTGAGTGATGTGTTTCCAGGGAAGACGCTTAGTGTCCCCTCTTGCCAAACACATCAGAGTTCATGCCACTGAGACCGGTGGCTCCCACAATGACTCAGCTCACTTATTTAAAAGTCCTGAACTGCGACGTTAGTAGCTTGCTGGTCACTAACCTGCCAGCCTTGCAATTTACACTGTTGGAGAACAAGGCGACATTTCTCCTCGGCAGACAGCTGTTTCTTCTCGACTGGAAGCGTGTCGGCCAATGGCTTGTACCTGTGAAAAAGCAGCGGGAACACTGAGAGCCATGACTGAGTTCGTCAAGCAAGTGCTTCTGTTCAACAGGATTGTCTTTGTCACACTGTTTCTTAAATTCTCCCCGGTTCTTACTTTACCCTACGAATCCCCAAATCTCCGTCCGCCGTGCACGTAACACTGTACAACCGTGAAATAACCCTCATCTGTTGCGTGGAGAATGAGTTTTAAAATGAGCCAAATATGTATTTCAATCCTTTAATGTGTGCTCAACACTATGATCAAGGGTGGATGAAAACCACTTAACAAGAGAAAATTGGAGAGAGAGGAAATGAATGGTTGTCACTGAAATAGTTAGAATGCTCTTAAAAACATACCTTTTAAGAAATCTCAGAATTCTTTATCCCCATTTGAAAGCGAATCTAGATGTAGTTGGAATCCGTAAGAAAGGAATATCAAAACCTCCAGAAGTTTTATCTCAGCGAGAGGTAGAGAAGCTCTTTCCCCACTTACTACATATCGAGCACTTTCCATCTTCTAGAAGGATATTTATTTATTTATTTACTTATTTACTTATTTATTTATTTGCAGCTTCCTCTGAATCACTGGCTGTCATTCCCTAGCCGAAATCCATGGCAACATAATGCTTTGCTATGGATTTTTTTAAAATGCCTTTCAAAATTACATAAGCCACTTAAAAAATCTATATGAAATTTCCGTTGCATGCAGGGTATCTAACCTGATGTGTAAGTAAAACTGTATTAAGGGAAGAAGGAGGGGGAGGAAGAGGAGGAAGAAATAGGCAAGGATTTGCGTGGGTTTACGATTCCCGTGTCGAGCTGCTCTGGGAACTTAACGCCAAGAGGTAAATCACGGAAGTTCCCTGTTATTTCCTGCAAAATATCTTAGCTTTCCATCAAAGTTGGTTGCAGCAAATCTGGCAACTTCTAAAATGAGTTCTTTGTTTCCTTAGAGCAACGGAGGAAGGAAGTGCCTTGCCTCCGGGTCTGTATCCACCGGGCTCCCTCGAGCAAGCTCTGAGAGGCGTGCCCCCCACACCCCCCCCACCCCCGACACCACACCAGAGGGGCCCACACGTCTTTCCATCTGCAGGTGCTGCAGAGCAGGGAGGTTCCCTGCATCACGGGGGCAATGCTGCAGTCACGGCGGGGCTCGCTCGTGTGGAACGCACACTGAGAAACCATACCTAGTTTGGATTTTTTGGTAGCAGACGTTTATTGCCTTTCTTACATCCTTAGCACTGCCACTTAAAACGGAGTTATACTGGTTGCCCTGGGTGGTAGCCATGCGTCAGACAAAATAAATACATCAACATCAGCAACAACCCTTCCTTCTCGTAATACAGATTTTTGCTCGTGCATCAAACTCACGGCGCAGGAGGGTGCAAAAATAGCGGGTAACAGAGGCGGAATGTAAAAATCGTAGTGCCAGAGGCAAGGATATGAAAAATCTCGCACATCATTTTGATCCCACTGAATGCACTGAAATGGTCTGTGGAAGAAGTCGACCATTTTTGCTTTGTTTTGTTTTTCTTTTACTGGTCATAGTGTGGTTGCTGCAGAAGAGACAAGGTACCTCCAGGGTAGAACAGAACAGAGAAAACGGGTAAAATGAGGTATGTGTGGGGAGGGCCGGGATTGGCAGTCAAGCGTGAGGCAGGTAGCGGGGGAGACCCTCTAAAAGGGATGGCCATCTCCCCACGTGCCGGGGTATGTCGTCTGCACAGCAGTGAGCAAACACGGGTTACGTCGCATCAAGTCTGAACGGGTCAAAAGCGACAGATGATGACCCACACGATGTGTCTGAACAGGAGACAAACTGGAGGGGGGACGAAACACAGCCTCGGGTTCTAACTCTGCAGGGAGTTGCTAGGAGACCCTTGGGCAGCCATCTCACCGGTAATCCTCCCTCTTGGGTCTGCCTGCGTGTGTTTTCAGGACGCGGCAGAAATTCTATACTGCATTTAAAGCATCAGTCTAGGGGCGCCCGGGTGGCTCAGTCAGGGAAGCGTCTGGCTTCAGCTCAGGTCATGGTCCCACGGTCCGTGGGTTCGAGCCCTGTGTCGGGCTCTGTGCTGACAGCTCAGAGCCTGGAGCCTGCTTTGGATTCTGTGTCTCCCCCTCTCTCTGCCCCTCCTCTGCTCATGCTCTGTCTCTCTCTCTATAAAATAAACAGTAAAAAACCTTAAAATAAACAAATAAATAAAAAGCTTCAGTCTAATCCCTGTGTGTTGTGTCCTCAAAGTGTGCGAGCTTCCCCAGGGGATGGGCCATCTTTGTGCATTCCCTCGTGTCTGTTAAATTGCCTTTGTATGCACCAAGCACAAATAATGATGAGGGGTCAAGAACATGGGCTGGGGGATGGGGGGTGGCAAGGGACATTTCTCCTGCATGGAAAGAGAGCAGGGGGCTTTTCGTATGTTGCCACTCTTACTCCCCACAGAGGCAGGAGGCCTGCATGGTCATCTTTTGACACTGAGAAAGCCTACGATCACAGAAATCCAGTCACTCCCCTGGGTTCACACAGATGATCTTATGGGTTGAACTGCGTCCCCCCAAAGGTGATGTGACTTTATTTGAAAATAGAGTCTTTGTGGGGCGCCTGGGTGGCTCAGTCGGTTAAGCGTCAGACTTTGGCTCAGGTCACCATCTCACAGTTCATGAGTTTAAGCCCCGCATCAGGCTCTGTGCTGACAGCTCAGAGCCTGGAGCCTGCTTCAGATTCTGTGTCTCCCTCTCTCTCTCTGTTCCTCCCCGGTTCACACTCTGTCTCTGTCTCTGTCTCTCTCTCTCTCTCTCTCCCTCTCTCTCAAAAATAAACATTAAAAATTAAAAAAAAAAAATAAAAAGAAAATAGAGTCTTTGCAGATGTCACATGGTTAGGATGAGGTCGTTAAGGTGGGCCAGGATCCAATATGGCCGGTGTCCTGACAGAGAGAGGAGGATGCCACGTGAAGACAGAGATAGGCAAGGAGAAGGCCGTGTGACAAGGGGGCGTAGGTTGAGGGGATGTGGCTTCAAGCCACGAGCGCCAAGGGTTGCCGGCAGCTGGAAAGAGGCCAGGAAGGATTCCACTCAAAGTCTCAGAAGGGCATTGCCCTGCTGACACCTTAATGTGAGACTTCCTGGCCTCAGGAACAGTGAGAGAATGGATTTCTGCTGCTTTAAGCCACCCGGTTTGTGGAACTTTGTCACGACAGCCCCAGGACACTGACAGAGGTGGTAACCATGGCTGAGCGGGAATCTGAACCCAGGGCAGCACGACTCCAGAGCAGTCCCTCTGCTGCCACTGCCACACTTTCGGCAGGAACTTACAAGCCCCAGCCCCAGAGGGCTCTAGGGTGGAAACTTGGAGCACGAGAGACAGAAAAGATGGACCCCGGCATAGCAACAGCACACTGCACACCCAGAGACGACAACTCTCGTTCCTCTGACCTTTGGGTGACTGGGCCTCTTTGATGGTAAACTCGAGTTCATAATGAAATACAGACCCATTCAAGCACTCAGGAAAGCCGGCACGTCCTTACCATTTAGCCAGAGTCACACAATGAAATGAAATCACTCAAATTATCTTTTTATTCCCTTACAATTGTCTCATTCTGGAGCTCTGCTAATTATCGCTGAGAACTGAATTGACATAATTCAAGTATCTGAATACAGTATTAACAAGTCAGAACAAAGATCTTACACTGGGTGCTTTTTCTCCCCTCCTTTTCTATTGTTCTTTTGACACCTAAAATGGTATAATTCTGACATTTCGACTGAAAAGACAAAGACATCATCTCAGACATGGCGAGGTACTCTATTTTAGTGTAATTAAAAACATCTTGTCTTTTGGAATGTTGAGCGTCATCTATAGGTGGTGTCACTCACTGGTCTATCTCGCAGAAACTTCAACCTGAGACCAAGTGGTAATAATGAGCCTGGGGACAGAGCATGAGTCCTGAGCACAGGTGTGATGGAGCTGGGACTTCCATTCCCTAAACCCTCCTCTGCTTCTGTGGTCCCAGGCAAGGTCACCTCGACCCACTGAAGATCTCTGTATTCAGGCTGGCACCTTTCCTGGGTCCGAGGTAATCAGTTGGCTCTAAGAGGCCAATGTCCAGTCTCCTAAACGACCCACTCTTGTCTCGTCCTTCCTGGTTCAGGTTAAGGTGAATGACAGGGATCTAATTCTAGTCCAGAGTCCAAGCCCCAGGGCTCATTCATTCGGGCTCATTCAGTCAATCAACCAATACTAACAGCAATATTGACTGAATACAAAATTTGGACATGGAACGCAGCAGGGAGCAAATCAGATGAAAATTCTCAACATTTCCTGAGAAAGAGCGAACAGAAACATACATGAGGAAGAATGGCCGATATGATGAGAGAGATGGAGAAAAATGGGGCAGAAAAGGCTTCGCAGAGAGCAAGTACCTGACGGTGAGCTGGGGAGCTCTCTGGGGAAGAGGAATCCAAGTTAAGGGACAGAGCAGCAAATCCAGATGCCCCGAACGGGGTCATGCATGTGTCTGTTCAAGGAACACCAGGGCAGTGAACGTGGCTGGGGCAGAGTATATAGAGGAAAGGTGCAGGAGACAGGCTCACAGAGGCGAGGATGCGACCATGTAGGGGACTCTGGCTTGGACTCTGAGAGCCCTGGGGAGCTGCAGTTTGGGCCATGGGTCCTGCCATTTGACCCCAGAAGAGTCACTGAAGCTGCTGGCCTGGGGGGGGGGGGAGCCAGGGAGACTAATTAGAGACTCTTCTCACAGCCCGGGAGGGAAGCAGCATACGTGGGAGGAAGTGGGTGAGCCCTGTCTAGGGTGGGGGGACGTGGGAGGGGTTCCTGATGGATGGACGTGGGTGCAAAGGGAGGAGCGGACCACCCAGACTCGGGGAGGAAACTGAAATCCACAGCGGGGGAGGGGCGGACAAGAGTAGCTGTCTGCCCGACATAGCACAAACAGGAAGGAGCTGGTCAGCACACCCGAGGGGGGGCCACAAGAAGCATTCTTC